TTTCGATTCGTTGGAAATCACTGGTTTTTCAGATTCATATGATTCATTTGAAATATCGATATTTTCTTTGTCTTTGGACGCAAACTTTAGTGCGTCTTTTGTGTATTGGTCAATATCGATCATATCTTTACTGGTTTGCGATTCTTTTTGAGTAACGTTACTCGAAGCAGTGTCTTCATGTGTTGGAAGCATAACAGATGGTTGGAATCGCATGTCAACGTCTTTTCCTGGTAAATCAGACGGCACTGTTGTAGTATTAGATACAGGTATCGGTACAGGTGGCACCCTTAAATCTAAATCCTTCGTACCAGTGGTTTGAGGTATAAATTGTGGAGCTGCGTCATTATTTGTATTAATTAGTCCTAACTTTTGAATATTCATTGTATTCAATTGGATTTCTGTTATTTGTTTCAATGATAAACCTATGCTATTTAGTTGTAACACGGTTAATTGGCCAAGTTGATCTAAATTTTCAATGCCCATTTTTGTGAGATCTAAAATTTGACGAGGTGTCAAAACTCCAGTCAAATTCTTGATACTTAGTACATTCGTTGAATTTGTATTACTATTTGGCGAAGAGTTCATATTAAAATTCTGATTATTAGACATGTCATTTTGCCATCTCGACTGTCGTATTTTTGGAGAATTTTTATTTTGCCTCTCATTCATAAAATGGTTACCTTGTAATGATTCTCCAGCGGCTTGTGGATTCGGTATGTTTAATTCAAACAGAGATGGGATATTTTTGTCAGTGTTATCAGTAGCGTCAGAATATTGCTGCATTAATTTTGACTGAGTATTTTGCAACATTTTTAAAGCTCCCTCTCTGTTAAGGCGTGGAAATCTCCTAATATTTCTTTAGGAGCTGATTCTATATGTTTTAAAAGTATATTTTTTAAACTTTCTGTTAAGGGTTTACCATGCGCGAATTTACATTCATCTTTGTATATACACGGAAGCCCAGTATGATAATATTTACACGGAAAATCAGCGTGCATGTACAGACACTTGTCTCTTTTTGCACAACAATCCATTAGGTAAAACTTGCACAGTTCCATTTTTCTCGGAGGCTGTGCATCATGTGAATAAATGCAGTCATCGCCTTTATGACATTTACCTTGCATATAGTATAAACAGACACCGTCGGGATCTTGCATTGGATGAGTGCCTCGTCTCCTGTCATTCTTATTATTTTTATTACGTTCTCGCTGTCTATTATGTCTTTGTTGCCGTTGGTGCTGCTGTCCCCTAGACTCCTGACTACTATCAGATGCACATGAATCTCTATCATCATCATAAATATCAACAGGCGACTGTCTATGCACTGGAGAAGCGCCCCTTACACACATCATTTCGCTTTCATCCATTTCATCTGAATAATCTTGCTTTTTACGCTTTTTACTCGATCCATCTTTGCTATCATACTTCTTACGTTTTTTGTGTTTACGACGTTCATCAACGTCATCCTCGTTATTGGCATCCATGCTTTCCATTTTGTTCATGGCCTTCCTAATAGCTTTCTCAATATTACCAGCAAATCATCTTCAGTGGGACTAGAATATTTACGACTTTTTTTACCTTTGTCCTTTAACTTCTGTTCCTTGTTAGATTTGGATTTCTTTTTCTTACCTGATTTTGAATAATAAAAATCCTGGGAATCAGATTTTTCTGATGATACTTTATCTTCAATAGTCGGTACAGTTTCTGCACCTTTTCCTTCAGATGCGGCTTCTGTAGTTTCTTCGCCTTCGCTCTCTATCTCGCCATCCTCCAAGTCTTCCATCTCAGCATTCGCCACAGCTTCCGTCATCATGAAAGTGTCACTGAAATGGTACAAAGTGATAATATTAATAATTGCGATTTACAACATTTCTTATACGCAGAAAATATATTAAGTTACGTATAAGAAATATATCTATTGGAAACTCAATTATGTTACGATCTATATTTTACTATCACTTCGTAATAGAACTAGTACATAGTTCATCTTTTGTGTAGAAAATGTTCAAAGTAACTCGAAGATAGCAAGTGACTATTGAATTATACGAAACAAGTGCAGCTTCGCGTTATAATAACTAAACAGTGATAGACAACAACTTATATATAGGGAAGTTTATTGTTTAAAGGCCAATTTTGTTTTTTCTGTGACTCTAAAATACGTTATTAAAATTTGTTACTTAGGATCACAATAGATGGCGCTGTTTAACAAATATTTACCAACTATTTTCTTAACAGAGTGTGTAAATACTATAATGCCTCTACGTTGCATTAATAGATTTGTTAAATTTAAATTACTCAATCCACCAGCAAAACAGCTTTCGACTTCACATGAAAGTTAAAAACTTCCTTGTAATGTACATTTGAGCTGTAATTTTCCAATAAAAGTGGTTAAAATTTAGATACCAGATACCTATTTTAAATATTAAGGTTTGAAATACCTAAATAGAATCAAAAAGTTGCACAATATTATCACTGTCGCGGGGCTTGTAATCATTTAGCTAATAAAAGTAATGACTAGACAAAGGAATGTAGTAATTATCGTCCAAACAAACACAACATTATCATAATGCCAGTTTTTAGTGGCGTTGTGTTATGATTATGGTTTCAGTTTTTCATTATCTAATTTGCGTTATCTTTGTTAAAAATGAGCAAAACGATAATGATTAAATAAGTGCGTCATGGTCTAACCCAAATTGCTTGCGTTCCTGCCGTAATAAATTTGTATTCTTAGCATGTCGCCGCGATAACTTACTGACTTCTTAAGAAGTGAGAAAGAGAGAGCAACAATGTTAAAAATACTGTTATAAAAATATGTGGATGAAACGGCAAATACGTCATGCAAAGAAATCTACATTGTCATACTCGCCATTTTTACAGTATAACACGACCAAATTGGAAAGACATACAGCTTATATTTTAGACAAAATTAACAATGGAATGTCACAGATTTTATAAAATATAGACCTATGCTCTTGGAAAAAGGTTACCTAGTTCAACAAACTGAAATACAAAATAGGTATCTAAAATCACACCAAGACATCACATAGCACGTTTCAATGTATAACTAACACGCCCTTTGTGACTGTGCAAAGAAAATTTAGAATGAAAATGTTCAGCAAATAATTTGCTAGAATAAAGTGTAATAATTTTCTAGTCATTGAGAATAAATCTCGTTTTCTTTGAAATACTATACCTAATATTCGTCGGAACAATAAGCATTGGGAATGTATCTCCAGGTATCACAAAATTACTTAGATGTTGCGCAGTTTGAAATTCAACATGTATGGCAGAAGTCAGTACAATAACTGTTCTTAAGCCACGACTGTTAATAAATTTAGGTAGATACAGCCAAGCAAAGCAAGCAGTGGGTGGCCGTTCACATTTCACAATATCTAGCTGCGCGCTGCGCTCTCGCTACGATTTGAATGACGTCAGCCTTCTAGAACGGCGAGATATCTGTCCTTCCTTTCATCGAGGTCACGAGGCGTATAACGCTCACACACACTAGCACAAAATATCAAAGTGGTCGATATCTATACGTGTAAAAATGGCGTGTAACCTACTTATCACACTAACCTAACGACAATCTTAATTTAGCAGTATTATAATAACGCAAAAATTATTATAGTAGGTACAACGCAAAAATTTAAGAGAACACGTGCTAAAAATAAAATTATAGAAAACAATTAGTTAATTACCGACACCAAAATTAGCCCCTTTTACGGCATAATTACATGAGTTTATATAAGTACACAATTTACAATTTGATGTTTAAAATAAAAATAAAAATGGACAGTAATAATATCATGCACAAAATAAATAGCTCCGATAAAAATATTCGGAATTTGTTTGTACAGTGTACGAGCATGGCTGCCAAGCAAGACTTATCGCTTTGTTACAGCCGCCATTTTTAACCAGGCAGTAAATAATAGATCGAATGATACGATTACCGATTTGCAAATATTATGCAATTTATCCTTCGTAACGCGATTTAAACGGTTATTTGTGTAGCGTAGATGGATATTGCACGTGTAAGGTAATTTCCTCAAGCTGACCAAGCACTTCATGTAAAAGGGGACACGCATTCATAAAAATGGCCTATTGAGTAAATAATATTAATTGTTACCAATCTTACATTAATGAACGAATCACTAAAAGCGACTACTATACGCCATGTAAAATGTAAATTTCTCGGTCATGTCCTGCATAAAGACGTAACAATTCGAGTACGTTATATTGATATCGAACGACGACTGTAGCAGAACATTGCGTTGATCAAAAAATTTTAGTTTTCATTTTTATCGCACCGGATCAGGAAGCGCTAGTGTTATTGTACCATTACGCCCTCTGGTTGCTAAATTAGCATACTACTTCCGGTCAATTATAGTCATTTAAATTTAATATTGAATTAGGTTAATATATTAGTTTTTAATGCTTAATGAAAAAATACTTCAGATTTATACTGTTAGTAAAAATATATTTTTTTAGTACTGAAAGCCACATTATTCTATAATGTATATAAAAAGTTACTAAGCCGACTACACCAGTGTTGCTAATCAAAACAATGTAAGTTGGTTTCTTGCCAAGTAAAAAATTAAACATAAAATAAACAAAATTTTCTATAAAAATGGAAATTAATTAAAGTTGTATTTCAAGGTGGATTTTTATTTTTCTTAACGAACCCAAATATATTAAATACAAAATTATATTTATTATGTTAAATTTTTTTCAATATCAGTAACCACATTTCAAAACAGAATGTAAATGTCATCATGATCATCGAAATCGTAATGTCATTTTTATTATCAATTTTGTGATAAGTCAGCGTTTCACGAAAATACAAATTTTTACTTTTGGTCTTCTGCAAAATTGTTTTAGAACATAACTCAGTTCTGTACGAACAAAATGTCATTAGACTATGTATGTGATTGTGTATTAATCAAATTTTAATAAATAACTTGAATAGTTGTTACTCGTCAAGTTTCGAATATTTTTTGAGGATGTCCGAGCCAAATAATCCATTCGCTGGGTTGTTAGGTGCTTCTGAAGTGTCTTCAACTGCTATTGAATCAACTCATGTTGAGGATAACGCAGCATTTCCGAATAATTCCAAAGTAACACCAGCCGACGAGGACACTGACACAGTAAATAACATTGCTGAAAACGTTTTCCACTTTACGATTAATCCTAATGCTGGGCAAGGATATCCAGTGGGAGACAGACAATTAGTTTTTTTGGAGGAATTGGCACAAGCAACTAAGCCACAAGTGTATTTAGATTTGGAAGCCTTGGAGCAGGCATTGTTTGAACGCTTGCTTCTTCCAAATATTGAACAATCTGTTATACCAAAAGGGAGCTTAGTTTTCAAAGAACATGTTGTGCAGAAGCAAGTTTTCCAATATTTGTTCAGTTCAATTCAGAATCTTCAAAGTTATGAGCATGTAAATACTCCAGTTGTGAAGAATGCTGTTCAACGCATGAAGGAACTTATATTAAGAAATGCAGTGACAGCGCTGAAGCAGCCAGCATTGTTTGAAGGACAAGATTTTACTATACAACTTTTAGAACTTTTAAAGCATGTAGACCCACAGAGTCATACATTTTTCATAGATGTAGTAAAAGCTTTTATGGCAGATGGTAAGTAATTAAATACTTTAAATAGTGATGTTCTTTTCTTCTCCTTTGTTTGTTATTGTTATGTGTATGCCCTTAATATGGATAGCCCTTCCCATAACATCAAGTAAAATAAAAATCTTTATTCATTTACACATATATTTTACTTGTAAACATAATTTATAAGTACCCCGGTACACGCAGAACAACCTCCATTTTCATTCTATTGAATGGGCTCCATTCAACCAAATGTTGCCTGGTTGAGATCGCATTTAGTGATAAGGCCGCATTTGTACCCTATTTAATTCATTGATTTAAGGTGTACAATAAAGGTTATTATTATTCATTCTTTATAATAAATTAGTAATAGTGCAGATAAACATCTTAATTTAAAATCAAAGATGTCAGCAAGTTTGAATGAAAAAAATGATCAGTGGTTTACTAGTTTGGCACCATACAAATAACAATTCTGTTGTTGTAAACAGTATTTTCATTGTATGTGCCATATCTTTTAAGATGTTATAGTAAATTAAAAATAACTTCATTACCCTTGATTTAATTTACTTATTACATTACTATCATTGGAATCATAATAATTTATGATCATTCACAACTTGTTACAAACAGTCTTTAAAAAAATATTTGTTAGTCCAGAGAAACTACAATAAATAGTATCAATATGTATTGTAATAAAATTAAAATGAATTTTTCTATTTACAGGTGACCCAAGCTCCCAGGAACAGTTAAGAGATGTCATGATACTAGTATTAAAAAGGATCCATGTAGATGTGAATAAATCTAATCTAATAAATTTACCCATTTATGTATTGCCGTCTATACAGCTTTTTGCTAGTAAGTTGTTGTTTTTTTTTATATTTGATGGGCTGATGTTTAACCACTAGAGATCTCACCGGGTGTTTTGTGCTTAATTTTAGTTTTGTTTTGTATTTTGTAGATCCTATTCATAACATGATCTTCTTTTTTAACTAACTTAAAAACCATATATATGATTTTTTTTATGTTTGTTCGCCGATATCTCCTTTATTACAATAATTTACTTTTAATTGACTGTTTAATTAAATATCATTTAATTTGATTTTTCTACTGAATGACTTAAAACATTAACATAATAACATTGAGTGCATGGAAAAGTTTACAAAAATATTCTAATTATAATTTTAGGCAACCAATGGCTAGCCCCTATTCTACTGGAGGCGATCGAACCTAGAAATGAAACCAATGGTAGGTTCTACCAGGATTCTGTGGTTGGAGCGCTGCTGTCACTTTCAGTTCTTCCCAGAAATGCATCAGCAAGAAGTGACTTCTTTGATAATCCGGTAGATCAGGTAAAGTTAAATTGTTTCTATATTGATTTTGATTTGTATGGGATTAGGAATTAATACAATAAAACAAAACAATAATACAATTTTACTAATTTAATATTTTGTAATAGGTAATTATGCTCTTTATGTTATCAATATAAAAAGATTCTTAATTAAGAATTAATCTATAATTAAAATATCCATTAATGTAATATTATATCAAATTGCAGGCTGCAGCGTCAATGATAGAGACATCAGTTTGGAATGCCTCATCACACCTAACAAACAACTTACATAGGATATTCCTAACAATCCTCAAGAGTGGACCACATCTAAGAAACCGTCTATTAACGTGGATTGGCAAATGTTTGAAGTCAAATGTTGGTAGAGGGAAATTATGGAATGTACAGGTATTTACATGCTTATTTCTTATTATAAAAAAGCTCCCTTTCTCGTTGGCCTACATAAATGAGATAAACTTAAAAACAACAAATGGTTGTTTGTATGGTTTCCACCAATAAATGCTTTTTCACCAATAATTTGTTTTTGCCAAATAAATACTTTTTCTTTCTCTTTCTTTCAATAAATAGTCTGATTCCTGGCTAAGATGTTGTGAAGATCTAGTTTTAAAATAAGAACAAAATAGTGGTCAAACATCGGCCCATCAAATGTATATAAAAAAAAACAAAAATCCTATCATTGTATTCATGGCCAAGGCCATTTAATTTGATCAAACCTCTTTGTTAAGATATCCTTTTTGGCATCTATTCAACATACTTTGGTATTACTTGCATAAATTGGTTTCTCTGAATAAAGAAACTGCCTCATTGGTTGAGTGGTACTTTCCAGCAAAGTAAGGGCTTGCACCTTTTGGTACAGTCTCTGCCTACCCCCATGGAAGACAGACGTCAGATTATGTTTGTATGTAATGCTAGTTACCTAAGACTGGCTGATTGTTGACAAAATTTTATTAAGTTTTCAATATGTCTATTGTGACAATAGTATTGTTACATGAGAATTAAAGAAATTACATTGTATTCACATCACACTCAATCCTTCCTTTATAAGAATTAAAAGACAAGATATTTTATTGTAAATTTTATTTCATTTTATTTACATTTCAGCATGGAGAAGCGAGTGCGACATCTTTAACCACAGTGTCAGATGGTTTTATGCTAAATTTAGGATCAGTGTTACTGCACTTATGCCAACCATTCTGCAATTCTGCTGATGACCCAAAGGCACTCAAGATTGATCCTACTTATGGAGCTGTTTTGGTAGGTCTATACATCAGAATTTAGTAACCTATCCTACACCTATAGATTATTGCTAAATATGAATAAATTTAGTTTTGTAGATGCGGTGGCCGCGCGTTGCCGCGCAACATGTCGCGGATTCGATTCCCGCACGGTACAACTCTTTGTGTCATCCGGGTCTAGGTGTTATGTGTATGTGAACTTGTATGTTTGCAGAAAATGCTACTGTGAAGCAACTTTAAAAAAAACTATTTTCTAGGAAATCAACAAATATTTCATACTTATACACTCTACTACAAATAGATTAGGATTTATCGATTTGAAAATTCATAAATAACACTATCTATCGTACAAATGTAGAAATGACACTAACTTGGTGTATGTATAATTCCAGCCTGAAGAAAGTGTGGCCAAATGCGTGCATTTGGACTGTTTACACAATGAGACGTGCTTACTGCCAGCGAGAGTGACAGATGATGACCAGCCAGTCAAGCGGCCTACCGCTAACAGTTACAACTTTGTCACCGAGTGCTTCTTCATGACACAAAAGTGCATTGATTTAGGTGAGTTAATTAACATTTTACATTAGGAAGAATATAACTGGATGCTATGATTGTTTATCAATTTAAATGCTGCAGACATGATAGAGTTCGTCCTCAGATATCTAACAGATAAATGACATGAATGAATGACGGACAGTGAAGAAGCCGCCTTAGTCCTCACCCAAGAAGCAACGGGGTGGTTTTTAGCCAGTAAGAGTCTGACACTCCCTTCCCGCCTCACCCAGACCGGAGCAAACATTCGATGATTTTCCCTCTTAAAAAAAAGTCACCCATAATAACAGACATACAATCTTTTACAGAGCATCTTGCATCGCAGAGAAAGATTAGTAATAGGGGTTTGATGGCCTATATTAACTCTAAAAACCATTTAATTAATTGCATAATTTTTTTATAAACTACAATTAAAAAAACCGACTTTAACCTCCCATTTTTTCTAAAGTCCGTTAATTAATATACTAAACCCTCCTTAGTGTAACAAACACTTTTCTGAACACCACATCAAAATCGGTTCATAAGCATACATACTAATAATCGCGCATAAACATACATACTTTTTTTAACAAACTTCAAAAAATAACCGAATCGTCGATAAATTTGAAACCTTCAAGAAAAGAGCGTATTCCTTTTTAAAAGGCCGGTTGCCATCAGGTTATCCGTCTGCTCGTTTGCCTCCTATTCCATAAAAAAATAGAACGAGGTTCTCAATTTGACCTGTATGTATATTTAATCGGCTTCAATACAGATAAACACACCAGATGAAACTGAGGACCTACTTCTTTTTTGAAGTCGGTTAAAGATGAGAACTGAGTGCCATCTCTTGAGTTAGGACTTTACTTATTCATTTCGGATAATGGTGTAATTATTGTTGTGTGAATATTCCCAGGCGTCCGAGTGTGTGCAGAGAAGTTATGGCGTTGTGGCCAGGAGCTGGGCCAGGCGCAGCGCGCGCTCGCAGACGTGGCGGCCGGCGCGCACCACCTCGTCGAGCCCATGCGACAACGGACGGAACATCTCATGACCAAGTAAATATACTCAGCTAATCTCATTTGTCTGCAACGTTTTTCACAAATTCTAATACCAAAGTATTGTTTTTGGAAAAAAATTAGTATTTCAAACTAAATAAGAAATTAAATGAAGCTTTTAATGCTAAGTGGGAAGCCGTTCCCAGAGGCATTTGTTCAGCTAACTAATCTTAATTAATGAATAGCGTAGGGCCCGTAGCTCAACTCTAAATAGCAACTAGATAGATGGTCATGCCTCAGTCCCTGATTTTCATCTGCAACTTACTCCCTAGGCGCAATAGAAACTTACTTACATTTATCAACCTCCTCTCTACAGATTCATGAGTCTCCGCTGTGCCTTACTGGAGAAGGATATGTTGACAAACTTAAATCGGCTGCAAGCGACAACTTGTACGTGGTTAGTGCAAGTAGCGATCCGACCAAATGATAACACGTCACAGCAGTGCTACGCTCCTATAACCACTATGGCCGTACAAATGCCCATTACTAGCCCAGCGCCTGATACTTTAAGGTAAGCAAGTATAAGAACTGTAAGACGGGCAACGAGCGGTGCATTCAGAGGCCTAATAACTGTACTCCAAAATAATCCATCAGTATAATTGTACACCAAGAAAAATTTTAAACTCTACTCCTGAGATGTTCTACACATTTATTAAATAATCCACTCAACCGCCTAATATTTATCATCCCTACTTCATCCTCAATATTATTTTATCATCACTATTATTATAAAAACAAAAATATGTTTGTTTTAAACTGGAACGATTTCTATGATGTGATTTTTAGTCACAGTTATCTTTCAATTTTTAATTAATCTTTAAACATACCTTTTAAAACCTCTATGAATTTGAATTATCCATCAGTCTATCTATTCAATTTGTGTAAATCTAAATTCTCGTTCCAAAATGTAAATTCACTACCATGTTATAGTCTACTCTTTTACCTTGACCATTCAAGGATGCTGTCAATAAAATCTAGTGTTATATTTTTATAATAATTATCGTCAGACATACTAAATTAACTAAAAATCGTTTAATCTACCAGTTTCGAACCACAGATTCCTTCCTTATGGTCCGAAACTAGTAGAGCTTTTCTCAGTATTTTCACGTGAGATAACTGGCGATTTTTAGTTAAAAGCTAATGTTAATATTTTTATTGCTTTTTCCAGATGTGTCCCGGAATTTGTGTTGGAGAACATAGTGGTCCTGATAACGATGGCGCGCCGCACGGTGGGCGCCATCACGGAGGAGGCAGACATCGCGGGACTACTGCGGCCCGCGCTCACACTCGTACTCACCTTCATGGGGGACTCCGCTAGGACGTATAACCCACATCTAAGGTAATATCTATAAAATAAAGATGCGTTTATTACACCATTCGAAACTCGTTATTAAAAAAATATAGGCAAAAGTTTATAAAAAAATACTTTCTCATACATTTTGTGTCACGTACATGTCGTAGAATAATTTGATACTTCGAATCTTCGCGGAAATCCTAGGGGTTTTGCGAAAACGCGGATAATTAGACATAGCCGAAAAATTATCAAATCTTACTGGACAAAGTCAGGATTTTTGCGAAAATACTCATTACTATAGTAAGATTGCGAAACGAAACGCTGGCTGTTATGAAATAAGAACGCTGATTGGTCGGTCAGCGCGATCAATAAGAGATCGTCTCTGATTGGTTGACGTCTTAAATGATTTTTCGTCGTCTTAAACGACCAGTTTCATCCAATTTATGGATTACACCCTAAAATTGGATAATTTTTTTCACTACGACTGAGATCTCCTATTGTCTGTAGAAAACAACATACATACTAAAATTTTCAATAAAAAGTTTATAAAAATCAATTTAGTGATTTTCCCTTCTCACCTATTCTAAACCTTCATATCTGTATGATACAATACTTGAAGTTAATCATCGGCAAACTAGGAACCAAAATTGTAGCCAATCAGTGTTGAGCACATCAAATCTTACTATAGTAACGAGTATTTTCGCAAAAATCCTGACTTTGTCCAGTAAGATTTGATAATTTTTCGCCTATGTCTAATTATCCGCGTTTTCGCAAAACCCCTAGGATTTCCGCGAAGATTCGAAGTATCAAATTATCCTACGACATACACATGGCATTTTTCATGGCATAAGGAGCAAGAAAATTGGTCGCCTGATGGTAACCGATTGTCGTTGCCCATTGACATTATCCAAAACACTAGAAGAATCACACATACGTTTCTGTTTGTTTAAAATATACTTTCGCCTTACCCGACCCACCAAACAATATAGTGGTCAAAAGCTGCTTATGAGTTCATACGTAGTTACGTTTTACCTTTAATATTTTATTTTTACCATGTATATTCTAGGGCGCGACTAGCAGAATGTTTGGAAGCGATGTTGCCCAACCATCCTGAAGACCAGCAGCCATTGAGCAGCTTAGCATCCTTCTACAGAGAACAACTCTTCAAGGAGCACCCACATCGAATGCAGGTACTTATTTGATAAAAACTGAGCCCTGTGGTGCTGGCAGAGTATACTACGTTTGTCACCTTTTGTATATTAGGTAGTTGAAAACGGTACTTATCATTAGATTAAACAAGTTTCCTCCATGGAATAAAAAGCATGATATTATTACACCGTGAAATCTATTTCGTTTTTGTCTCGCGACCATACAACTTGCCATAAGGAGTACCCTCGATGTAGAAAGTAAAAACGAAAAAAAAAGATGTATTTTTTTTTTAGTTCAAAAAAATTTCATGGGAATACCGCACATGGAACACTATATTTATAGGCATTATTCGAATCGCATGTATTACCCGACGAGACAACCTCTTCAAGAATTACATGGCGTAATGTTTTGATAGTGTACTACGATTTTGTATGCGCTTTCGAAGTTAGCTTTTTGCAATGGTTCATCAGTTACTTTTTTGTTTTAAGCAATTTATTTCTTTGTAAAACTATTGTACCTATTACCAAGACAGAACCATTTCGCTTCGGGACGAAAACGAAATAGATTTCACGGTGTATAATTAGTATAATAAGGTGTGTCTACCAACCATCTCTTACCTAAAAGATACTTAAGGTAAGGAAGCACCTAAACTAGTTAGTTTAGCTAATACGTTCCTTGTGTAGTTGATGACAACCAAAATGTCACATACCAGAGCTTAGAGGTTGCTTAAAATTTAAGAGATCTTGATGAAGTTACTGAATAATTGGCAGATTTTTTTAAAACTAGCCATCAGTATTAAAAGTACTATATTCTTTTCTTTCCGATTTGCAGCTAGTACCCTGTCTCCTGGACGTGTTCGTGGGTATCGAGATGACGGGTCAGAGCGTTCAGTTCGAACAGAAGTTCAACTACCGCCGCCCCATGTACCTCGTCATGGACTTCCTATGGGAAATGGAAGAACACAGATTTGCATTTACGTGAGTATTTGTTTTTTTTATGAAATAGGAGGCAAACGAGCAGACGGATCACCTGATGGTAAGCGATCAGCGCCACCCATGGACAAAATTTACTATTATTATTTACAGTACTTATATTATTTATAGTATTTAATTTGTTATATTAATAAAAACTACGGCTAACTTGAAGTAACTATTCGAGTAAACTACCAATTACAAATGGCGTGAGTAAACCGAAATTAATTTTGAATGTCGCACGATATTTATTACACAAAAAAGTATTTTTTCACCTAAGAAACTTTTAAATCTTGCACATTTTTTACCAATGTCTACCTTTATTTTATTTACTTTAGTTTTTCATGTTTATTTTGATTTCCAGGCAACTAGCGAAAGAAGCAGAATCCAACATGGAGGCTGTCCACCCACCGATATTCTTACGTTTCGTCAACTTGCTGATGAATGATGCCATCTTCTTACTAGACGAGGCCCTCGGGAACATGGCGCAGATACGCACAATGCAGACTGCACAGTACGTACACTTTAATAACAATTAAGTGAAGTAAAATAAGTGATAAAAAATATTTATAACCTTTGATAAACCATACCACTATATTGTCGTGATCTTTGGATAACAAACTTATTCTTATTTTAAGTCATTCTTGAGGCTACTTCATCCTATAATCAACAACTTAATATCTATTTTGGTAATTGGTATACGGATGTTTATTAATATCAGTGTGGTACCTATAAGTAATTTCAACTATTAGAAGCAAAAATTTTCAAAAAAAGAAGACTTGACAAAAGTACTGTTTCAGTCAAATCTAATTAATGTTTTTTTAATTATCCACAGACAATCAGGCGCATGGGCGAACTTACCATCACAGGAGCGTGCGCAGAATCTATCAAACTTATCTCACATCGGAATGTTGGCTCGTTTCGACAACATATTGGGTCGCGACACTATACGCACACTCGTCCGCCTCACTGCGCACGCGCCATACGTCTTCTGCCATCCTACACTTGTAGAACGCATCGCGTCCATGCTCAACTACTTCCTATTACATCTTGTTGGACCTAATAAGAAGAATTTTAAGGTTAATTAAGTTCCGCTTATTTAGATGATAATTTAAAAAATGATGACTGCCGGCCGAGATTGGCCGAGTGGTCGCAAGTGCAACTGCCGGGCAAGGGGTCTCCGGTTCGATTCCCGGGTCGGGCAAAGTATTACTGGGTTTGTAAAAACCTCAGTAGTAGCACGGAGTCTGGAAATGTGCCCGGTATATGGCAATAGGCTCACCCCCCTATTACATGGGACTCATAACATAAATAGTGAAAAGTGGTCGTTATATTGTACAGTGCCATTAAGTGCCGTAATGTGCACCTCTGCCTACCCCTTCGGGGGTAAAAGGCGTGATGTTATGTGTAATCTAACAAATGAAATACGGTTGTAAATTAAAGACTACGCTAAATGCCTCAACATAGTGAAAATCGGACGACGGATCACCATCTCTCCCTGTACTTCGTTTTTCCTACTACTAAGTGACCTTAACGAATCACTTTCTCGTGGACTGTTATTTTGGTCGAACTATGAATATGTATACCCCATAATGCAGATCATACTTAGAATTTGGTGGTCATCATCTAAAATAGTACATTATAATTATTTACATACTACATTTTTGTTTACGAAGCTATAATTATGTTATCTAAAACTAGCATATGTTAACTCCTCAGGTGAAAGACATGAAGGAGTACGAGTTCGAGCCAGCCAGTACAGTGCTGGACATCTGTCGCATGTACGTGGAGTTGGGCAGTAACGAGCGGTTCTGTGCCGCGGTATCAGACGACGGCCGGTCATACTCGCCGCAATTGTTCACACTCGCTGAGGCTGTGCTAGGTTTGTTTTTAGTTGTATAATAATATAATGCTTTTTATTCTGTAAAAGGAGTGTAAGCATAATTATTGTTACTACCAAGACTACCAAATAATATCAGACCTTTTAAAGGTTAGAGATTTGAGGATTAGGGCACTTGGGAACTGGGTCTTTGGTAACCGGCAAGATAATCAAGACAATCGGTGAAGCGTCACCGATTCATAGTAAATAACCCACCCACATGCACGAAGCGCTTTGCATCAAGCTTTCTTGTCCAGTGCTAAAGGATGGAATTCTTTACCAGAGTGTATTTCCTGAAGGGTATAACCTGGGAGTCTTCAAGGCCCGAGTGAATAGGTTGCTTATGGGACGACGTGCTCCATCGTAGACCGCATCATCGCTTACCACCAGGCGAGATAGTGATCAAACGTCGGCCCATCAAATATAAAAAAAATCATATACACAGCAAAACACGACGCAAGGGTCGTTTCACGCTGGTCTGTGTGGCCGTGATATCAGTCCGGTCTAGCCAATTTAATGCTAATCTTATACTCATCATTTCCGCAGCGCGCATCGGAGGTGGTGGTCTAATAGGATCACTGCGGGAAGTGGCAGCTTGTGTGCAGAAGTTCGCAGTGCAGCGACAGCGAGATGAAGAGATTCTCGCGAACGCACCTGAAGAGTTCCTTGACCCCATCATGAGCACACTTATGATGGACCCTGTGATACTGCCCAGTTCACGGACCACTGTTGATAGGACCACTATCGCACGGTATTTGTTGTAGATTATTTTTTTTATATTGGCACAATATATTTGGTCACTATTTATGGACTTAAGTCCAATTTTAAGTCTTCAGATCCAACTTTTACTATTGTGCTTTCAGATTAGTGTTTCCGTAATAAGTTATCAATTACGTAATTCAAAAATTAGATGAGTGTTGGAAATAACCTCTGAAAATAAGATAATAATAACTTTATTTCGCACATTACTCACAAACGGTACTCAATGTATTTTCTATGTTTTGCAGACATCTCCTGAGTGATCAATCGGATCCGTTCAACCGCTCGCCGCTGTCCATGGATCAAGTAAAATCCAACACGGAACTTAAAGAGAGGATCCAAGCGTGGATAGCTCAACAGAAGCAGAATATTGCTCAAACCACGACCAGTAGTGAATAGAAGACAAGTAGAATAAGATTTTTGTATATTTCACTAGGCAAGCTAGTATGTAATGTAGTTTTCTAGACGTAGATTTCATATGGGAGTATACATACTACATTTACCTATAAGAGCGCTTGATTCATTTGATGTTTGTATCAAGGAAACAGTGTTATTTGTAAATTTCCTAGTTTATTGTTCTGTTATTAAAAATTTTAGTTATCCAAGTTTCCGTACATATCAGTTCAGTGATTTATGCTATTGTTTATTCATAAAACATAATTATATGTATGTTACTTTGTGTAAGTTTATTCGGTGCATTTTATTTTAATGGATAAGTACTGATTTACAGTAGAAACTTGTACTATCCTTTTACATTGTGATAAATTAATATTTACAGTTTATAATTTTAGCATAGTAATGATAATTAGATGATAATTAATATATTTCTCGAACTGTCTGTCTCTTTGTTTTTTTTATAATATCTTATAATAAAATACGACGGTTATATACCACATAAACTCTTTCTTTTGGGCTCCAGTGACACACAAAAGCGACGATATTTTTTTCAGTTTCTAATTTGTTCGAAGCTCCTTTTAACTGAAACAGCCATGCAAACATTTTTGAAAAGGCATGGCAAGAACCATAGCCAAGGATGTTGATAATTTCAACATCCTTGCCCGTAGCTTAAAACATATGTAATGGAATCTTATTCAGATTCTACTTACTTTTTTTTCTGTAATGCTTGTTAACCCTGATCTAACCCAAATAGAAGTTCTTGATGCATAATTATAAACAAGTTATGAAGTTCCCTATTATTTACAGAAAATAAAGCATTACAATCAGATAGTGGGTACCATTGTTGCCATAGACATATACCTACACCAGGTTCAGGGTCAAGTAATCCAAACATGACGCGGGTTCGAATCCCAAGCCGAGGAAAGTTTTATTGAGTTTTTCTAATCCAAGGATATTCTAATAATAGAATCCAGTTAGACGGTAATTATGGTCATTAGCAAGTAAACTGTCTAAATTAGACTTCTTTATAGCAAAAACTTTTTCAACCTATCAAGGAATTGGTAACTGATACCATCGTATGGTAGCACAATAATTATAAGGATTACGATCAACTGTTATAACTATTTATATAACATGGGCTGATGACAATATCTACAAATTGGTGAATATTTTCTACAAATAGTAAACAAGATTTAATTCATTAAGTGGCTGTCTTTCGTGTAACGGAAAGCAAACTCTAAACAATCTACAATGAGAATCATAGACAACAGAAAACTTAGTTGACATGGCGGAATAATCAGCTGTTAATTGCAATGCTAACGAATAAGTGGAATATTTCTCGTAGGTAATAATTAATTTCATATCTTATTGAGTTTTAACTCATTCTAGGCTTAAATAATGCAAGTCGTACATATTTTTAACGCGGTAATTTAAAATTTATTGGAACAAAAAAGGAATGGCGCGATGTCCCTTGTCATCTGTCAGCTTCATTCATTCATCCATTGTGCAGAAAAAATGTGACTTGTTCGCTTTGTAATTTTGTTTTTATGTAATAAGTGCTAGTTGAATATTAGATCCACCCGTTATTACATCCCATTACATTTACGAAAGTGTTAATTATCATATTGCATAATAAGAGCAGCCACAGTAACAACAGGGCCTGTTACTGTGCTCCAAGTTTATTCCCTCTACAAAGAGCTTGGTGCGGCGTCGGCGAATGAAATGCTTATTTTTCTTGCGCAGTGAGTTGTTCAGTGTTTCGTTTGATGAAGAAATAGAGGTGTTAATAAAATAGTGAAGTGTGAAAGCAAGCCAGAATGTCGGGTCGGGTAAGGAAGCAGTCGGACTGCCCCGTGAGCAAGCAGGGGCCTATGCGAGCAACGCTGCCGGTATCATCAGTAATGAAGAGCGGCGGCCTCAAGAAGAATGCCAGCAACAGTCCGACGCTGTCACCAACTAACGCTTGGCGTCGAATATCACCAGATCACGCCCTGTCTGGACAGCGAAGCCCTGGCGCTGTCAATTACAAAGGTAAAGTCTATATTATGCTATTTAAATTACATTCAAATATCTCTTACTCATTAAAATCTTATAAGAAGCCAGCCTAAATAGAGAAAAACTCAATTGGAAAAACAAAATGTAGGTATCAGTAACATTGAATTGATCAATTCACATAAGATGAAGTCAAGGATTACACTAATAGCCCTCTAATAATGCTGAAACAGAATAGAAATTATGTTAATTTCAGTCTATACAATTTTCCACAATAGATCTCAGCATAATTAATTTGATTTCAAGGTGAAAGACTAAGAATTCAATACAATATTGTTACCTGCTTCATTTTCCTTTTTTTGTTGCAGTCATTCTCAAATTAGAATCTATTTACACATTTCTAATTTTCTATTTACTTACTCATAAGGGCCAGTTTCACTCTTTCTGATAAAGTTACTATTTGCTGCTGCTGGGGCTATAGGTACATAAAAGGGCAGTATTGTTTTAACAGACATTTTCAACATTTATTTTTATACATTTCCAACACCCTAATACTGAAACGCTACTTATTTTTAAGTTGTAGTTAAATATCATAGCATCTCTGCCATTCAAATGCCACAAGGAATTTGTCCATACAAATTCTGAAGAAATTCTGTAGAACTATACTTAAATGTGACTTAAAATTGAGTGATGTTGAATATTTGGAAATTACTCTGCAAATACTGAAACTAGTCAATTATAAATTAAATATTATGCCATCTCTGTTATTTTACTAAGAATTTGTAGTGAGAGAATACTTAAGGGCAAATTAAACTGTCAAACACCAAGCGGTCACCGGTGACCGCAACCTATTGTTCTTTAATTGTGTCTATAAATATGGTACTCGACGAGTTAATATTGAGCGACATTATGGAAATAAGTCAAATTATCTGTCACTAATAATCAGACACTTTGGAAAAAACAATTTTTACCTTGGTGTAGTGAAGTATACATTCATCTAGTACCTTTTTCTATTAACATTTATTATGTACTAATGCTATAAACATCTAAATGTGCTTATTTTCATTGAAAGGAATATTTTATGACACCATTTTATGTCTTAGACTAGATACAGTTTGAGGACTATACATTTTTTTTGAGGGATGATAGACATCCAATGATTTTTCCCGCCATGGGGCGGAATCATGAATCATCAATGAATCATCTTTTCGAGCCATAGCCCCGGCCACCCATTGGGCCTTCAGCTGCACAGTTTGAGGGCTAGAAAATGATCTATCTAGGCTACTCTATCAGATAATATCTAACCAATAAACTTATTGTTTTCTTTATTCAACATTCAAATATATTTACTATAATTTTTTTTATTTGTAGTGGTTTTGGCCCTAATTTGTAATTTGTAGTGGTTTTAGCCCTTTCTGTAAGGATATTTAATTAATAAAGTATTTTTCATGTATTTTACAGGCAAAAGTAGATTTGGCGCTAGTGTGATTAGACGTACAGCGTCACTGGACACGCTGTATCATAAAGGACAATGGTCCAGGGATTACTATCAACACGCTAGCCAGTTGCAAATTGATAAGTCTACACAAGTACGTATCTATTTTTAAACATAAATTATTTTATCTATGGTCTCTCATATCTATCTTATACAATTTATTTTTACAAAGTTATTTTTTCAATTGTTACACATAATGTTCAGGAAACGATAGTGCATTATTATCAATTTGTTTTAATAACTCAATTTCTGTGTATGTTCATTCAATTTTATTTTTAAACCTGAGTTATTATAGTTATGGAATGTATACTAACTATAAGTATACTTGGTCATAGTAAAATAAATCAACTAAATTAACTTTAACATTTACAAAAACCCCTGAAAAATCATTTCAAATACGAATTTTGTTTCTGTTATCAGACTGATGACGGAGGTGGGGCATCAGGACGTTCATCCCGCAGTTCTGACGATGACAAGCTAGACCGTTTCTTACGTAGTCGCCTTCAGAGACCACACAAACCTTCTGCGTCCGGAGATTACTCGAGCCATTCTATGAGCACTGCTCTATGTAAGTGTAATATCTAAATTTTGTTATGTAGATGCCATTAATCATCGCCATCAATATCATCCACAGCCATAAAGTCATAGATGAACTAAACGCGTTCTCTACTAAAAAGGTGTTTACCATAAAGGGTGGACCCTTGGGGAGAGAGTTGAAGATTGATACCATTATTAGCAAGTCATTACTTAACTGCATACTTTATTTATTAGGGTCCCGTTTTGGAGGTAGTAGCGTCCCATTAAGAGCAGCCAGATCATCTGTCGAAGGCCTCAATCAGGAGATTGAGAGACTTGTGCTGCAACCCGCCAGTGGCACTCAAACTCCACATTTAGATCGGCTAAGAGACAAGGTACATTCAATCATCTGTTCAGTGCATAAGGTTTATTTTAAACTGTTTATGTTGATAGAAAAGTTTTAAAGTACTTTAAGTTCACTAGGATTTATTTTATTCTAGCAATTTCTTTTTTGTTACAGTTGATACAAATGTAGTCTGCAAACTGGTGTTATTAAATGTATGCATTTGAAATATTCCAGTGTGTAACACAAGAATGTTTGAACAATAACATCCTCATCCCAACTAAAAATAGTCTACATAAATCTGCTAATTGGAAATATACACAAAGTTGTATGCTTCTGTTTAGTATTATTTGGTTCAGCAACAAGAATATTTGTGGCTGGATATTTGTGTGTGCAACGGTCTTTCTTTGTAATACAGTTAACTATGTAGAACTACCTTTACCCCCAGTTATTAAAAGTATAATGTTTGTGTCCGTTTGAACAAATAAGAAAATTATGCCCTTAGTGTAAACATTCAATATAGTTTTGTTGGTATGAAGGTTTTCTGTACATTTGTTTACACTTATTCCAGGTGACACCAGAAGGGCACCGCGCACCTCTTGCAGAGCTTTTGAGGCGTTCTGTAAACACACAGACACCACACGACCTGTGTCATACTGCTCACTCTTCAGGTAATATTTTGTTCATAATGCTATCCTTAAGTTCGTCGTACTCTAAATCATACAGCAGTTTGATAACATCTGATCTCGTATTTTGATAGAGATCTTTGAAGTGTCTAAATCATTTTAATAGTTTTTACTACTGTACTTTTCTATGTCTATCTCTATTATTTTGTAGACAGACTATTGGATTAAAAAGATTATATTCTTGTTTATACACATGATGATATTCAACACAGTTAGGAATAATATTTATGTTGTGTGTACATTGTGGGCATAGATCCACCGTCGCGGGGGTCTCTCTCCAGTGGTGGGTCGGCAGAGCTGTTAGCCACAGGTCTATAACTAACTATAGCTTTTAGACAACCCCTCGCAAATAATAGTTGATGCACAAAACATCAGAATGGTTTGATAGTCTCCAAGCATGGTTTTGTTAAAATATTCTTTGCTTATTTGCTTTTACGGGTATCATTTCAGTTCTGTAGAAAATACATAAAAAAATAGCAGTAGACAGAATAAAACTGAAAGTAGTTTTCATTTCCTTGAATTTGCTTAACAGAATGATGATTTGTCATTTTCACATTTTTGTAGAAGTCTGTTGTGATTTGTATTTAATATAAGTGTTGTCAATTCCAGGAGGCAGCGTGTGTTCGTCTCCAGATCTCGACGGGTCTAAGTTAGGAACATCTCCGCAAATTAATCGCTTCTTAGCTCGCGAACCTCCAGATGGTTGTGAAAAGGTAATCTTACGTTTATAATCAAATTTAGCGGAATTAATGTTTTTAGAATTAAATATTTGTTAAAATTGATGATGAATGTTCATTGAATAATGTCTATATTAAAGGTGAACCTGAAAGCGGGTGAAGGGACATCGTCGGATTCGGTGTCCGTAATGAAGCCAACAGTACCAGGCTTCACACTGCGGCCATCTCTTGGGTCTGCGTTCCAGCCGCTGCAGCCGACATCGCCCCCGTCCCCGCCAGCCCCCCACTGACTTACACCGATGACCTCGGACGCCGCCCCGGCTGACGGCGCGCGGCGTCCCTCCAACTGGCACTAACGCTAGTGCCCACTCTACGGACTGGAGGGTTCCCTATCTACCAAACATTAACTTGCGTTTCACTAACCCTCACTTTAAACGTCCTATGTTTGTTGAAGTTGGAACTGACAGTTCCCGACTCCACGTTAGTTCGACGCAGCTACTTTGTGGCGTACAAATGAAACATTATTGTACACGACGGTATGTTGTTGCGAGCTAGTGGTTTATTTGTACAGTAACAAAATAGCGTAGTTTCCCATAGCACTGCATAAATGCTAAATGTTAATTACTTATTACAGAAGTTAAACGTGTTAGTGGCATCCAAAGTTTTATCACCTATTCATAATGACACGTTTTTAATTAATCTGTTGTGACAATAATAAACATTCTTTAAATGTATTGTGACGAAATTAAGATGTCCTTTGATACACATCGTATTGAATGTTTGTCAATTTCCATCAAATTTCGAGTGAGAGGAAGAAATAGAAATGTCCCAATGTATTGATCCGTTTTAGACTTGCAATTACTTTGCACAAATTACTACTTTGACAAACAGAGCAACCAAAGCAATTTAATCGCAGCATTAGATTCACTAACGAAGCCAAACAAATGGCAAAAATATTTCATACATACACAAGTACCTACAAATTGTTTTATAAGTAAGATTGCCCTGATATTATTTTAATGATTGCATTAGGTAATGAGGGAGCTATTTTTCTAAAATGTTTTATTTAGATATTTTAGCACTCACTGCTCCAGCTTAATTTGTTTACATGACTGGATATATATTTGATCTCATTTTATGTATTATTTTAAAATTATGTACATAACACTACATGTTGCAAGCATAGAATTTTAAAGTGTTATAGTATGATAAGTCATTTTTTATTTTCAAAATACATGAAGTTTTTGTTAATGTAATGATTGAAGATAAATTACTTCGGACCAAATTTCTAAAAGGGCCAGATCATCTTATTTGTGGTTATGGATATATTGGTTGCTAGAACGATTTTCTAATGCAAAAGAGCTTTAACTTGTGGGATTTGATAAAAGAAAATGTAAGTAAGAAAATAGACTGAATTTTTAAACTTTACTCATACTTTGATACAGGTAACTTGACTTTATTTGTTATGTAGTATAGTGTACTATAAAGTGCCTATTATGGACATGCTTACTTGTTTCTTTACTCTTCAATGAATAAGTTCGTAACTCAGTAGTAGTTGATTTGTTTCACAAATTCGATGTTTGATATGTTTCGTCAGTATCTGTATCAGGTACATGAGGAATTTGTTCGCGTAACATTCGTTTAGGGAAGTTTGGACCGCACTTGTTGGATTTCTCATTTTGGCCAAAATGCATTTTTATCATCGAGACTGATAATGTAGTATGTTGACAACTTACACATAAACATAGTTAGATCTGCTTTTGGACATACGCAATTATTTTTTAAACCTTTTTTAATATTCGACGGCAAATATATATTTTGGATGGCTCACCTTTGGGAATATATAGTATTTTAATCTTATCATTGCTCAAACAAAATTTTTATTAAGAGCCACAACTTATGATATACGCCGAATTTGAAGATGTAACGTGGTGATTATAATATTTCAAGTTGCTGATGTAAATTAGTACCTATTGATTATTACGATATTGGTTATTCAATAAACAAATGTGATAATGTAAGAGAAACGGTCGAATCTGAATGTTGATCGTGGCTTGACAACTTTCGATACTGCTAAGTACTAGTGCTGTAACCATGTCTGGACATGTTGCACAAAATGGACAGTATCCATAAGTTGTGAAGAATTATCGAAGGTGCTGCGTAGTGACTATAAGTGTGTACAGGCTGACCGACTTGTGACAAAGGAGCAGGGTGTTTGGGATGCGATTATATTGTGTAAGCAATCGCACTTGACATCAGATAGCATTTTCGAATTGACTGCGAATGTGACAAACAAAACCAGTATCTGACGCTATGAAGAAAAACGTTTTGGGAATGTACAAAAAGTATTATCATCATTCATTTTAACCTACATAACGATTGTGTGTATACATAAATTATGTATGCTGTATAAAATGCCACTACAGTCGTAATGATTTGACATTTTTAATAGTGATTAAACATATTGTGCAAAAACATTAAACATGGAAGAAGAGCCGAGCCAATATTTAAAATCCGGATTTCTGTGTAAAATGTTTCTGAAGTAAGTGCAATATAGCTGTAATTCGAGTAAATATACAAGCAAACAATTTACAATATAAATTTTGAGGATTATATGTATGTACATTTATTTGTTATGAATGTCTTGAAGCCTTCATTGATCCACAGTTTGAGTTGCTTGATCGTTGTTGTGAAAACACTTTCTATAAAGTAAGCTTTATGATTATGTTCGCATTGCTTCCTAACAGCTTCCATGTCGCTTCTAGACTCCCCACACTTGGAACCCAAAACAATATTATGCTTTACTAATAATAGACTTATGTCACAGGTCCAGGTTGTAATTTAGGATTTATATAAGCCTCTCCCAATGTCGTTACCTAATTTAAGGTTTAGTAAGTTTTAGTAAAGGACCCGAAAAATTATTAGCTGTTAATAAATGTGTGCTATAAATGGTCCCCTTACTGTTTAATTTAAAGTAACCACTGGGATGTGGACTGAGGTTCGTAAATAAAGATGTTTGCATTGCCACCATTATAAGTTAGACTGCTGGTACAAGCACAGTATTCCAAAGGACATCTTTATTTAAGGACTGGAAATGTTTTTTAAAGTACATAAAATATTTTTATATGTTCAGGGTAGGAGAAGGGTGAGTTGTACCATAAAAGTAACTTGGCTAGGATCTTAGATTTGATAGTTCTTTTATAGATGGTTAATATTATTTTAAAGTTTGCTTTTAGATGAATGATAAGTTTGTAATTTTTATTAATACAATATTAGATTTAAATACTAACATTTAAACTAAACCAAAAGTGCCCATTGAGATAAGTTTATAATTTAAGCAAGCCTTTTGTTCGGCATTTTGTTAAAAATAATGTTTAGGCGACAAAATTAGAAATTAAGAAAAATTATCGAAGGATTGTTGAGTTTTAAGTTATCTAAAAATTGTTGAGGTTTATTGATAAAAATTTCTTTAGTTTTTTTACAAGTAATGTTCAACAAAGGGCTTGTTTAGTTAGAGGCATTAATTAACATCAATATTAATAGTATCTACATTTAAGTAATAATAAGAATGGTTTTATTATAGTTTTGTTTCAGAGAAGAAATTCTAATTACTATTTTTGTTTCCAATATTTTATCACTTTTATCTGTTTTCACTGTAATGTATCTTGCTGTATTGCAGACATATCCAATATACAGACTGATTTAAAACCAAAGCTTTTTTATTTATTAATTCAATCACTATTCAACTGTGCCCTGTTCAGTAATCAGTTATATGAAATGGTGTTTTATTGTTCAAGGAAAACCACCTATTACCCTGATTTTGTATAAATGTTTTTAAACCTGTTAAATCTATACTAATACATATAAGTTAAAGAGTTTGTTTGTTTGAAAGCCCTAAACTCATTTGTGTTGGATAGTAGACCATTTGTCGTGAAAGCCGAAATGTCGTAGGTTATCAAACATCACACTACAATTAATTTATATAGATATATAATACCTCTATTTATATATATATATATAGATAGATATACAATTAATATAATATAACAAGGATGATATTTCAACAGGTTAATAATAAAATGTTTTCCTCTTTTTACCAACTTCAAAAAAAGGAGGAGGTACTTAATGTTTGACTGATTTTTTTTTTGTTTGTTTGCCGATCACTCCGCCATTTGTGGACAGATTTCCAAAATTCTTGTTTTGTTCCCGAAATGTTCTCATTTCCATGAAGTCAGGATTTGGTGATGGAATCCTAGGGAAACCGAGGGGAAATTTTGGAACTTGTAGGGGCTAGTAAGACGCCTATTATATTTTAAACACTACAATTTGATAAAGGTCTGGAGTCGACCTGATGATGGAGCCGACAGACAGTTGAGGGAACTCCACAACGGTTTATATCAACCACCTTGTTTGGGCTTGATTAATTTGTATTGAGGAGGATTTTACATCTAGATGTCGTAGGACTGTCACTAAGGGTCTGATAATGAACAAGTGTAATTATTGAACTCTTCAACGGTTTATAGTAACTACCTTGTGTTTGAGCTTGTATAATTTGTACCGATTAGAACTTTTCACCTATGCAGATTATGAGTGGCATAACGGATCTACGTACCTTTACACTAAAAACGTTAAAATAAAAAGATATAAAACCAAAAACTCATCATAATAGGTCAAAATTGTAAATTAGAATTAATATGACTTTTAATCTATCAGTGGGTGGGGTGGGTAACCTATCAGTATTAATAATAGTCATTTTTGCTTTTTAGTTTTGTTTTTGTTTGGTATTGGTTTTTTGAAGTTGGTTTTTTAAACTGTCAAACACCAAGCGGTCACCGGTGACCGCGACCTATTGTTCTTTAATTGTGTCTATAAAACCGGTACTCGACGAGTTAACACAGTTTTTATATATGAGTGTAGTAGTCACTCAATGCAGCCTATTAATTAAAAGTTACAATGTGAAAAATAGTAACATAAAATAAATAAAACACAGATTACTGAATCCAAAATGTATTAAAATTCAGTCTTAGTATATCAAACTTAAAATGGAAATAATAAAATTATTTTCTAGTATTGTAAACTTCTCTTAGTTTGTATATCATCCAGCAATATCCTAAGTTCTTCATCCTCAAATCTTCCTTCTAGTGATGGTATTAGAGCCTTGGCCTCCTCTGGTGTCTCCGGGCACAGATTAGCTAAACTTGCTACTTCAAACTTGTGCAGTTTCTTTGATTGAAGCAGGCTGGAAGAAATAAAAAATAAATTAGAATAAAGATAGTTACATTAGAGAATATTTATTGTTAAAAGGTTGTTTCACAAGATTTATTTTTGTCAGGCAAAGGCCTAGTTTTGACAATAATTAACATTTAGATAGCATCTATCAAGACAACATGTAGACAAGAAAAATTCTTAGTCTTCTTAGATCTGCATTCTAGCAGATCAGGGATTAAGTCACAGTATTTAGGTAGAGAGAAAAATTAAGAAATTCAATCTGTGTTCTGTAATAAGTTACTTCAACAGCACAGTTTTACAGAATTAACTAGATAAAGAGGATCAATAATTTCAATGAATGCTTACTTTCTGACTGCAGCTATAGTTTCTTTATTCTTAAACTTTTTAAACATGTTTGTATATGTGAGGGTCTTCATAAAAACTTCAGAGAATTCTTGTTCCTCCTCTGCAGACTCGTTCTGAGCTTTCCTGTGCTCCAACAACATGTCAACTTCTGATATCAACAAGGTTTCGGCATTTTCAAACTCTGAAATAAAATACCATTTAATAATTATTTTTTACTAAATATTTTAAAATAGTTTAATTTACTGTTAGGAAGGTATTTGCATTACTTGGAATGGAACTTGTAGCCTTTCTTTAAAAGGAGATGTGAGAGTGGTGAAATATATTTTATAAAATGTACCTTTAGGGAACTGTAAATCTGCTGCATCTTCCTCTACAACGTCTTGTATAGGTCCAGACATGGTATAATGTTTACTCTTTTACAGAACCAATGTTAATTGTGCCGACGAAACTAAAACGGTACCACAGAATTATGTAGCTATAGTTTGTAAATAAACTACACATAAAATGTTGAAATGATGATCAGGGAGATTTAGCAATTTTATTGTATATTGTATTTATAACGTACTTAAAATAACCTATATGCCAACTTTTATTTCAGTATAAATAAATAACAAATTCGTAGCGTTAGCGTTTAGCTCCTTTGCCAATGCCAATCTTTTTTTGACATTGATGACAAACGAGTCGGTGACAATGACTTTGTGTTATTTGTCTATGCTGGTCTATGCAACCTATGGTCATCAGTAAAAAAAGAGGAGTAAAAATGTAGTTTATTTATTTTTATGTAATGTAAGTTTTAATAATGTGTTAATATATAAAACACATAAAAATAAAAGACATGTTCACCTAAAAAAAAATTAATCAACCTTTCGCGAAGGACCCAAAAGGTCAAAAGTCCAGTCAACAAAAAAAAACTTAACAGAACATTTTTAAGGTTATGTTTATGTTTTTGTTTCACCTAAACAAAATAAAATAACAGCTGTTATCTGGAATAATAATGATAACAATATGTCGAAAACACCAATTAAATCGGACTCCAATTGCAACTTCATATCTAGAGGTACAAATTTATTAAATGTCTTAGTATAGCCTTTGTAAACGTAAAACTGTTACAATATTTTATCCGTTTCAGAGATTACAACCCCTAATAAAGATCACCAGGGGATGTCCAAGACAGTACATTCTCACGTCTCTAAACTGCATGGATTATTAAATGACTGGATTAAAATACGGGATAAAGGAGTGAGGTTATGTAGAGCAATTTCTGCGTTGAAGTTGCACGAGTGCGATGATGATTATTATCCGAGCCAACTTAAACAGTTGATGGAAGGTCTTCTAGACGCCTTGGACGGTTTGAAGAATGTTGTTGATGGTAAATATCCTTAAGTAGTCATTCTATAACTTGCTCTTGCTAAGCAAAGACTGCGACAGAGTACCTAGTACCTACATATTAAAAAAATAAACCTATCTAATTTGAAATGTGAATGAACGGTCAAAGACTTCACTTGATTGGAATTTAAAAGATTTTTTTACAGTTGGTCCAGGGTCAGTGGGTATCCCCGTATGTGTTCAATCACCATCCATTAATCTTGAAGTCTATTCAATGCAAATAAATTTTCCTCTTTATATTAATATGAATAATCTGTTAAGGGAATATGCAGAATTGGGATGATGACGGGGTATGAAATTTTAAAATCTAATTAGTCAGAAAAAATATTAGACACGTATTTTTTATTTTGTCGTATAATAAAACAACACGTAGGTAAATAAAACGAATCAAAGTTTAGGAGTGGGGGCTAAAACGTCATTTCTACGTATAAAATGTACATGGAAGTGACGTCACGCGACAATTCAAATCAATATATCGTCGAAAGTATTCGTTTCTTTAAGAAAATTAAAAATACGTGTCTAATCATTTAAAATACTCTACCAGACAGACATTAAAATAAAAATTAGACATCTACCCTATTTATTTAAAACTGAATTTTTATTACAGGTGTCAAAATTCTGAATAATCAACTACAAGCTTTAGCAAAGCTGCAACCAAGTGATGAGCCAGTCATCAATAGTTGGCCAGTCACCAAAATATCGCAATCGGTTATGAAAATTTTCGAATCCCTTGAAAAAGAGTACAGGCTGAAGCAGATTGTTACAGGTTTGTATACTACTCTGACTACGAAGATGCCAGAATTTGTTAATTAACTGATCAATCCCCAAGTGGGCGGATTTATATCAGATGATTGCGTACGAGTTAAGGCCTTCAACCAATAGATTTAGTGGTGTTATTTGTTTTTAACTTATAACTAAATTGATATATATAACATCTTTATCACACTGAAATGACTACTGGAATATTGCGATTGAATTTTTATGAAGGAGACATGATCATAACGCCTTTTTTCCCCTGTATGTTTAGACAGCATCAAAAGTTATGCTAGTATCTACAACCGCTTTTCGCCAATTTTGTATTGTTATTAATCTCATAGACTACCCAGGAGAAAATTAGTTAATAGGAATAACTGCACTCCATACTTCATCTACCTGTATTAAATTAAAAAAAAACCTAATACATAACCTCATGCCTGCCTACCATGGGGGAAGGCAGAGACTATGGAATGCCAAAAAAATATTGCTTACATAAATAGTACTATCCCTATTCCTTGTCGCGGAGAACCTAACGGGTAACCGGGGCTCCGGCTCGGCGTGCAGGAGAAGGAACGGGGTGGTTTTTAGTCAGTAAGAGTCTGACACTCCCTCCCGCCTCACCCAGTCGGGAGCAGTCATTCGATGATTTTCCCCCCTTAAAAAAAAATCCCTATTCCCTATTAGGTATACTTTTGACTTCCTGGTTATCGTAATTCCGTACTCAGTAACCGAAGTTGCAACCACAACCAACAAAATACTGCGTAATGGGGCCAGTGTAAATATTTCCGTAAATAACCAAAATTATTCACTCGCCACACAATTTGTCATTTAACCCTTACATCATTAACAAGTATTTAAATAATCCCGAGTCGCCCATATTTCAGCCGCGCCTAATTTCGTACACATCAGGAACTACTCACCTAGTTAAGTATGTCAAAGCTTTTGATTTATGATGCCAGTTTAACAGTTCTACCACAAAAAATCTTTCTCATTTTAGTAATTTAAACTATATTTAAAAGGTCATAAGGTTGAAAATCAGTTTAAGTAATTTGTCAGTTTGATGTAGTAGTCTAGTCTGTCTGTACTGTGACAGGTGATGGGTAGCTGCTTTGCCCCGGTACGCCTACTGCGTTCACGCTATGCTTTGTTCTGAACCGATCGGGGCCCATAGTCTTCATCATCATCAGCCCCTACACTGTTAGACTATTGGCCTCCTTTATATTTAAAGTTATGTTTAACAAAATCTCCATACCTGGCGAATAGGAAATCATAGTCTTAAAGAGGTGTTATTAGATCGACTGCCTCGGTGGCCGAGTGGTCAGGCAAGGTCAGGCAAAGTATTACTGGTTTTTTTTTTAAATCTCAGTAGTGGCACGTAGTCTGGAATTATGCCCGGTACACGGCAATAGGCTCACCGGGTATTACATGGGACACATAACATAAATAGTGAAAAGTGGGTGTTACATAATTGTACAGTGGCATTAAGTGCCGTAATGTGCACCTCTGCCTACCCCTTCAGGGATAAAAAGGCATTATGTTATGTTATGTTATGTTCATTAGATAGCGCTGCTGCCAAGTCTATGTTAAATGTTAGAGTCTCTTAGGAGTGGTGATAGTGATAAATGTATAATGTATTCTCCTCGGCTGTCACCACACAGCTTTATGGCGCATACGTCCGAAAGATATACAATCAATTTTTTAGACGTGTCTTAAAAATAATATTAGACACGTATTTTTTGCTTTATCAAATTAATTAGAAACGATACAGGTGCATAAAGAACATTAACGTTAGAATTGATGCTTAAATACGTCATAGCCTTAACCATACCTCACTCAGCACACAGTATCCTGATATGTTACGTCATATGATTCCGATTCCGACTTTGTTTCGTTGTAATTTGTTGACGTAGAATGAATTTTATCTAACGATATTGAGAGATACTTCATCCTTATGGACCTGCGTTTGAAATGTAAGTACCTATAGTTTCCAGGGTATCAACATTAAAAATCTAATGAAAAAATGAAAAATGTTAGACACGTATTTTTATTTTCTCGTATTAAGTTGCAATACTTAGATAAAATTGCGCTAAGTTTAGGAGTGAGAGGTCGTTACGTCATAACGTGCTACAAAATGTGGCACGTTGTGACGTCACACGATATTTCAAATTAATATTACTGACGAAAGTATTTAATTTTGTGAGAAAAGAAAAATTACGTGTCTAAAGTTTTAAATTAATGTACCAGACGGAAATTAAAATAAAATTTAGGAAACTACCCTATTAAGATTCTACTTAATGCCGCCTTCTTTTTTTACTCCAATTATTATCTAAACCACAGATATAATAAATATTTCTGTGATCTAAAATAAAAGTGATAGAATATTAAATTAGAATAATCGGAACCGCTGGTCGAAAGCTAGTACATTTGCAAAAGTTATTTTCTAGGGTAGCGATTTCGAAGTTGGAATATAATTTCAGTCTGTGTCAATGGCTACTCTCCTTGATAGTCTATTTATATTTAGTGGGTGATATAACCACAAAAAGGTTTGTTCCCCAGGTCCAAATTCTTTAACCTAAGATTATTTGCCTAGGTAACTAATTCCATATTGATTTTCCATGTTCTTATTGTATTATGCTATTATTTAAAAGGACAAGTACTAAGCAAATAGAATTGTATATGACTCCTACTAACTGCAAAGAAAGAACTGGAAAAGCAGTCGATAGAAAAATATGAACAACATCACCTGTATCTTCGGGGATTAAATGGATTTCAATTTGTTTCATATGTGGGTGATTCATGAAGTTCATTGTTTTTTATAAAACCTAGATAAATAGACATGACGTCAATTTAAAGACGTACTTATGTGTAGAGTAATTAAATAGGTTTTTATGAATGTCGTAGGTGCTGTAAACATGCATGGCTTATCGCCCACAACTCCTAAACTCGTAAATTGTACGTATTCAAGGAAAAGTGTATTGTGACGTTTATGTATTACATGCGTTGTTACTAGCTTTTGTGTCGGATTCCACCCGCATTCCTTTAAATGTAGGTTAAAAAGAATATTTTTAAACTGGATTTTAAGTTACATTTATGTACATACATAGCTGTTTTAATCCAAAATTCGGAAATTATTATTGTACCTAGTTCCGTCCTAGGTTTTTAAAGTTCTAGTCCATCTTCCAAATTTTATGACACATCATTAACAAAGCTCCTTCTTGTAGTGGTTTTAGTAAAGCGAGTGTAATTAATAGTTTTGAAAATCCTGCCTGCTTAGTGCATTCTCCAATGAATTTGCATTTTTGCTTCCTACAACTACTTTTCTCCTAAAAGTTGTCTCCTGTCATCATCATCATCATCATCCTGATCATAAATCATCAACAGCCCGGAGCAGTCCACTGTTGTAATACGTCTCTTTTACATTGAGGGTTTACTATATAATTATAACATCCACGCTTGTCAGGTGAATTAGAGAACGCAGTTTAATTAATTCGTTTTTATCAGAAAGGGCTGCCCGGTCTCTGTCAAATGTAGTTCTTTAGTCGGAATTACGACACTGAATGTATGGATGGATGAATACCATATTTTATATTTACCTCACCAGTTGGTGCTAGTGTAAACCTCTCGTTATAGAACTAAATATCGCGGGTTACTGACGTGAATATACTGAAAAGCTCTACTAGTTTGGAACCACAGAGAGGTTCTTCCTCTTGAGCAGCTTGCGCGGTTGCGGCGATCGCGATGTCGCACAGCCTAGCCAGGAAGCCCGCGATTTTTAGTTAATTTAGTATGTCTCACGATAGTTATTATAAAAACTCTCGTTATTTGTCCAATGGGGAATTAACTGGTGTTTAATATCTGACAGCTGCTGTGATTGGACAAATACACCTGCATTTGCGCCATGTGGTGACCGAAAAACGGTACCCATTTAAAAGGGTGCACAAGTTCCTCTACTCTACCTTAATTATAAAGTTAGTTACTCAATAATTCACAATTAGAGTTTGTAATTTTGTTTCAGAAAACGTGGCACACAGTCGTGATGAGAAATTGATAGAGGTGTACGTCAGTGCGTGGGAATTCGAAGCCTACTTCAGCCTTGAGTCCTTTGCCTACCTTTTTGCTGAAGTCGGTCTAGCCGGCGTCACGTAATTCGTTGTTAAAATATTTATTTGTGTTTTATACATTTTTATTCAAGTATCAAAAGTAATGTTTGTGTATAATAAATAGTTTTTATTATTATATTTGGTGTTTCAATGTCACATTCCCACCAAAACACGCTATTTTTATGTAACCAGCAAGGTTCTCAATAATGTTTTCTGTTAGTGTGACTTTCGCGCGGGACAATTTATAATATTAAGTTTTACATGGCGATTTTTAAAAGAATACTATCAATAATAATTCCCAGATTGACATTTTTGGTGTTACTTAGCTTAATTTGAAGTTCTGGATTTTGTAAGCACTGTGATACGAACATGTGTTCTTCAAATCAGTTAATCAAGTACCTACATACATAGCATGTCGCATGTCGCATGTCGCCCAGTTACTTCCAGGACCTATATTCTAAACATGTTTGGTCATAAAATCACTATCGATTGACACCGTTACATCTTTAATAACCAAAATCAAAGTTTTCAAATTAGTGAACGAACTGGACGATTCAAGTATGCCACCCACGTTCGTTGCCCCTCTATTCAATCACTGGGGGTAAATAAAACAAGCCTGTATAACAAATTAAGGTCTCTTCAATTAGCTTCCTGGCCTAAAAACCCTTTTGGAACCGAATTATATTGGAAATAAGGTTCTAATAGCGGATGACCTCGGCATTACCATTAATTTACATGAGGCCATTAGTCTCGAGATGCGATAGGGCGATGTAGCCCGTTGCCATGGCAACCGCCGCCAAACAAACACTGGTCGAATAGTGGACAAGTTAAACACGTAATGATAGCCACTAAAGAGCCACTCATGTTTATTTTTTATAGAACTTTTTAAACTAGGCTAAGTAAAAAATTACTAGGTATATTGATTTTAACTAGTGTTATTAAAAACAAATTATGCACTTTTAGTTTGTACTAAGTAGCTATGTAGGTCAGGTAGGCACTTAGGCAAGCATACTTAGTATCTAGGCTGCCTCTGGTTACTACCTAGGAGCAAAAGTCTAAGTAAAACTGCTGTATAAGGGGTCGCCAGCTTGATCCTCTGGTCGGTTAAAGAACCTATTATGGATATTTTGTATTTCCGATATTTTCCATTTTGGAATTGTACCTGAAGAATGGTGATAGTGACCCTATTATTCTTGTAATACATGACTAGTGGGAGTCGTAACTAGCGAAAGAGGTTGCTTGAGTAAGATAAAACATCCAGTTTGGTAACCTTAATCAGATTATAGTAGGTACCTAACTTACTGCAAATATAATATTAGATTTTTACAAGCTAACAACGCAACGGCTTTTGCTATTCATGTCAAGAAAAACACGTTTCAAGTCCCCTTCATAGCCAAACAGATATCAGTGACATTTCGGCTTCGTATGCTGCTGAACCGACACCTTTCAGAAGCCAGACAAATGCAGCTCAAACTAGACAAAACCTCTTTTCACTACTTTGTTTCAAATCAAATTATTTACGAGAGTAAATTCGAGAGTGCCTCGCCTCGTTGAAAGAATATTTTTAATTAATTCCTGTGTCGGTCAAAGAGTAATCGAGATATTTCGGTTTCCAAAAATTCTCATTGGCCGCATGCAAGTCTGTTAAAATGAGTAATATGGCAATAGACATCCCCCTATTGCGTGAGATTAATAACAGAACTAGTGAAAAGTAGACATTCATATTTGATAAGTGAACTTCTGTCTACATCTGTCTATATCTGTCGCGGAGAACTTAACGGGTTACCGGAGTTCCGGCTCGAAGCGCAGGAGAAGAAACGGGATGATTTTTAGTCAGTAAGAGTTTGACACTGCCTTCCGCCTCACCCAGGCGGGAGTAGTCATTCGATGGTTTTCCCCCCTTAAAAAAAACCATCTTATAGATAGGTATAATAAAACTGTAGAAGCGTAATCTCTGTACATTGAAAATATTAAATAAAAAGGAATAATAGGGTGTGTTACTAGCTAGATATCAAACCTGAAAATGACATTAAAACATTTTTGTCTGTCTGTATGTTCACGCATCACAACTAGTTCGATTACGATGAAACTTCATATGATTATACTTTAATATCCTGGGCACAACACTTGGTACTTTTTATCCCAAAAAAGTATATAAAAGTATAAAAAAACAAACTTAGTTGTGCGGCTCAATCCCTAGACACAGTTATTGTACCAAACACATATATAAGTTTGCCGATTGTTAGGTTACCCGCAGTGGACTTTACGCTGTAACTGTAGGGCCGATGGTCGAAATTAGCTTAAACCGATATTATGAATGTGGAAATCCCATAGTTCGTTTGAACCGGCTGAAGGCACCGGAATTAAATTTGGAACAGAGGTAGGTTAACATAACACCATGGTCTAGAGTACTTAACACATAGACTACTTTTACACCTGGGGACGCGGGCGAAGCCGCTGGTCGAAGAATAAAACCCGTGATGTCATATGAAAATGAAAGAAAATTCTAGGTATTTATCCTTAGGTTTATGGCATTATTAGCAGCAAGAAGCTTTAAGTATTTGTCTGACGGTTATAAACAACCATTGTAGCTAAGCCAGAATTTATTATTCCTATCTACCTACGTATTAAGTCGTGTTATGCGTTCGCCAGGACTCTTATTAACTTCTTATTCAGAAAATTCAGATTTTTCTACCTTTATCCAGAAATTTTATTTAAGAAACGGATTCTTGTTTATATGGAGCAGGGTTCCATTTTGTTTATTAGTGTATACTAAGAATGATGAGTAATTTCCACACTTCATAATTTGTTGGGAATATTTTGAAATTGTTAATGTGAAATATAACAGTTTGTGGACGCAATGTGTTATATTTAGTTGATCATACTCCCTGAAGTATTCATCCTATAGAACTCGAAAAGTCACTTCGATTGATTGACAAAATATTTATCAAAATTAAAGGGGATAACCGAACAAGCGTTTTATGTATTTAATCCTCAATACATGAGTATTTTATGACAATTCACTTGATGATCACGTAGCCGTAGTAGGCAACAACGACATGCGTACGGTTGTCGTGTAGGTACCTTAGTACCTAAGCAATAAAATTTAATGTCATCCTGAAATATGCACGTCGTAACTTACGCAACAACCTGACAAGCCATATTGATGTGTATATTTATTATTATAACACCTATTTCGGTTTACGGCTAACAGATATAAATAGAATGCGGAAGGAAGGGCCCCTGTGCACCGTGTCCCGGCTTCTGACGAAAATTGACCCAAATTCGTGAAGCAAGGCGTTGCCAGCTCCTGGCTGTCATTTCACGCTCAATTTATTTTCTGCTAAGCACATTTCCGAAACGATATATTCGAAAATTTACAGTTAACTGCTTATGCTTGTTTATGATTTTATATGGCCGACGGGTATGCCTTCTAAGTTTATAACCTATGTTCGTACCTTCTTTTGTAAGAGCTAGTAATCAGTTCTATGAATTTAAAAGCTAGTTTCAGTCATGTTTTAGAAATTGCTGCTAACTGAAAAACGGCAATCACATAATAAAATAAGCTAGACCAGTCTTTAAAACCTGACCTTCTCTCCTACCTAATTATCTATTTACCTGTTCCATTATACTACCATTAATTAAGTATCATTGAACCTATTGAGGTTGAATGAAAAACCACAGTTAGTAAACACCCAAGTAAGTAAACACAGACGACAAATTCTTAACGTAAAACAGAGGTAAATGGCATGCGAACGTGGTAAGGTGCAAAATAAATAATTATAGGTAATTATACAGAACATCGAATTTACTAGAATGTCTCGAACTGTGAGGCATCATTCTTCAAACAATTGCGTAAGTTAAATGAAGCTCAATATTTGTATTGTCGTTTTCGTAAGGTACATAATATGTACAAGGTTATTTGGGTGAATTTATCACACGTTAACTTTATTGGTGTTGTTTTATTGTCTGCGCAGCACGTTTTAAACGTGTACCTAAGTTTCTTTGGATGGAAACGTTTGGCGAGATAAATTCTCCTTCAGATGTATTCTGAATCAAAGCGTTTTGATGAATTTTCTTAACAATGAAACTAAATACATTAGTTGCGTACTTAATCTGAAGGCATGATTATAATGTAAGAAGTATCTAGGTAGTACTGATAAATAGGTTTTTAAAAAATGTTCCCTTCTGCCTGACTACTGTACTGCTCTTTGATGTGGGATATGCTACCCCTGTCGTTGTCTAGGGAACCATTATGGCAAATGAAATTCAGAGATTTTTGCACCACATTTTCTTACTCAACAAAAGTTGTGATTGAGTTACAAGTTACATATTTATTAAATTAGGTAGTACCACAAATATAATAATTGAGCGTAATTAAATGTTTTTATACAACAATCTTTTGTTTAGAACTTTAGATGACGATCCTTGGGGGAGTCCTAAGATAATAAATATATATTGCTAGTTGTAAAATCTAAGATACGTGGCGGGTGTGTGTACATAAACCGTTAGTTTAAGTCACAAGCTGATAGAGTTTTCAGTTCTAACTGCGACAACTTTTGCATGGACTATATAAAAATATCTACATAAGTTCCTACAACTGATAGTCAAAATCAGATAGTTTCTTTAATTAGATGATTATTTATTATTTCTCTAACTATAAGTATGTGTCAATAACATTCAGATGCGTTTGCTAATTTAGAATGTATTTGTAAAGCAAGCGAGAAGGTTTACGTGATACTATGGTGGTAAGTAAGTTATGAATCCTGTTTCTAATGATACCATTACGTCAAAAGCGTCATGGAAACATTTTTAATACCCATCTCTTTATGTACATACAACCTCCTTTTGAAGTCCTTGTTACTATTTCATAGCATGAGTTCTAGTAAACCTTAGTCTAGTCTTAGATTTCGCTATACGGAGACGCGGAGGACTTAACGGGTTGCCGGAGCTCTGGCTTGAAGTGCAGGAGTAAGAATGGGGTGGATTTTAGTCAGTAAGAGTTTGACACTGCCTCTCGCCTCACCCGGGTGGGAGAAGTCATTA